TTTTTTTTTTTTTTTTTTTTTTTTTTTTTTTTTTTTTTTTTTTTTTTGTTTGGGTGTTTTGCTGTTTGGCACTTGGAATCAGAATCGTTGTCTAAATCAACTCATGTTTTCCAGTTTCTTGTGGCCTGTGGGTATTTTCCTGTTCTAACATCTCCTTAAAAGCTTGATCTTATTGAGGACTGCTTAACGAGACATATCTGGAAGTTTTCTTCATTTTCTGATTAGTTGTTCTAGACAAGACATAGCTGGATGTCTTGTTTTTTCTTTCTAATGCTTGCTCTTGAAATTTATCATCTAGAATGCAATTTTCTAATCTCGTTTGAGACAATTCCGACACAGAACATGATCTTGAGACTTTAATGATTCACTTTCCAACATGATTGTGTTTTCTTCAGACAGGTGCTCTGTTAAATAATGCCAATGCCACACCAGGATTGGCTGCAATTGAGGAAAGGTAACAAAATTTCATGTCATTCATATGTTTTTACTTTGATGTTCTGAGATTACTGATCTTCTCTCTTCTCCTAGGTTTCCTTTCTCTGAACTTCACAAAAAGGAACGCCCCGATCAGGAAAACAAAGATGGTAGTGAAACGGAGGATGATGAAGATGACGACGATGACGATGATGCAAATGATCAGGACGACGACGACGATGAAGATTTTTCCGGAGGTGAAGAAGGGGATGATGGTGATCCAGAGGATGATCCTGAAGCAAATGGCGATGGAAGAGCTGGAGGTGATGAGGAAGATGATGACGAGGACGACGACAATGGAGAGGACGAGGACGACGATGAGGAGGAGGAAGAAGACGAGGAGGAGGAAGACGAGGAGGAGGAAACACCTCAGCCACCAGCTAAGAAGAGGAAGTGAGAATATTGATTGGCCCTCCACGTCGTCGAGTTTCGAGTAGCGAGGGAAGTTTAGCTAGTGTAAGCCTTTGGTTTAGGGGTAGAAACATTGTCGGCCTTGTTGGTAATGAACTGCGCAGCTTATGTTTGTGATGTTATGGATCCATGTTATATATAACATTTCTTTTGGTAAACTAGTTAAGCAAATTTCCATTGATATAGCAAAATTGTGATTTGAGGCCAAATATTTCTTTTCAAAAATAGGAATTTGATTTATTATTTTCGTACTTTCAGAATCACTCGGCTCGGCTAAATATTTGAAAATTTAAGTTTTTAAGTATTATAAAACGTCTCGACCATCCTTGAGCTATAATGATACCATCTATCCCTCAAATTATAGAATTGGACCATTGGTACCATTTAATCTTTTTTCTAATTACTAACCATTAAAAAATATCTAGTTTTCATATGGGCATCGAGCTAGGAACTAAGTTAAATTATAAAAATTTTGAAGTAAGAAAGTCTAATTAGAGTGACACTACTAACCGTTTAGGGGTAATTTGCGTAATTTGAAATCGTTAAGAGTTTAGATAGGAGAAAACATTCAAAAGAGAAAGCGGTCAAAATACCAATAGTTTAGAGATGATTTGGCCATTTTCCTAAAACTTAATTGACAAATTCCACTTTTTTATTTTTAATAATAATTATTTTATTATTTTAATTATTCTTGACTTGACAAGTATATATATATATATATATATATATATATATATATATATATATATATATATATATATATATATATAGTTTACAAGTGTATATATATAGTTCATAGAGTTGTTCGAATGACTCGATAAACGGAACAAATATACAAACCAATTTCAATATATTTTTAAAAATATATCGTTCTTACAACTTAAAAATTTAGTTATTAAAGAAAAACTTTATGAAATTATATATAAGAAAAAAAAAAATCACAAACTTATCATTTATTTCATCTCGACCCAATTCGAATGAGTTGACAAGTAAGCCCAAACATTACAAGTAGGATTAGGTTGATCGGGTCTAACGGTTCTTTTGAATACCCATTTCACAGTATTTTAACTCAGTTCATACACAGACCAAGCCAGAGTATTTTAACTCAGTTCATACACAGACCAAGCCAGAAAAAGTTCTAAATATCAGTCTTAAGAACGATAAATACACAAATAGTCATGAAACAATGAAATAGTACAAAGGGGTTTTCATAAATTTGATGTAACAAAATGTCTGTAAGCGAATCAATAAAGAAATGGAGTCTTGTAATTAAAATTCAAATTACAAATGAGTATTTGAGATCAATGGAATACAAATGGATCTAGGCCGTTACAAATGGTATCAGAGCCTAAAGGAAAAGCCCAAAGAAGACAATATCTGCTAGCGGTGGATCTAGGCCGTTATAAATGGTATCAGAGCCAGACACCGAACGATGTGTCAGCCTTCTCACTCTTCCCCGAAGGGGTAGACACGAGGCGATGTGCCAGTAAGGACATTGGGCCCCAAAGGGGGTAGATTTGGGGCGGTCCCACATCGATTGGAGGAAGGAAAGAGTGCCAGCAAGGATGCTGGGCCTCGAAGGAGGGTGGATTGTGATGTCCCACATTGATTGGGAGGAGAACAAACCACCATTGATAAGGGTGTGGAAACCTTCCCGTTTTAAGGCCTTAAGGAAAAGTCCAAAGAGGACAATTTTTGCTAGCGGTAGATCTGGATCGTTTCATATTTAAACTAGGAATTTTAGTAAGCACAATTGTTTGAGTTTTTTGTTTCCCGTGGAGAATCTAGTTATGCTTCTATCTAATTCCATTACTTGAACACAGACAAAACGAATTCTTGTTTCAGCTTCCAACAATTTGAAGGGATAAGAATTTAATATCATCCTCAAGCTATGAATCATTGTTAGTAAGAATTTAATATCATCCTCAATCTAGTTATGTTTCTATCGAATTCTATTACTGAACAAGAATAAAACGATCCGATTCCGGTGATAAAACTCAAAATCAAACACTTCAATTCATTCAGTATATTCTCCCGAAATTCTCATGTCAATCAGAAAAGAAATTAAAAAAGATTTCAAACAAACGAAGAGACATGTATGCCTCCTACAATACAAGCAAAAAATTCACTTACTCTTCAGAATGGTAGCTTCTCATATCGAAAAATTGCAGGATTTGTGGTAGATTCCTGAGAGACGGCTCCAAATTCCTCTTCCTCCTCCTCATGTTCTCGACTAACGCCGCCAATTATTATTTCTCTGGACTTCAGAGAGATCACGAATCAGACTAATCCCCTACTGTTCCCGATTATTACGTGACTAATTGGAGATTTGAGAAGTCAGGAGAAAATACCGAGCCGCTGATCTTTGGAGTTGGGATGTTTGATGCAACAAAGGTGATGGAGGAGAGAGGAGGCGGCGGCAGCGATGGCCGTGCGTTTTCGAGTGGTTCGAGTTGTTCCTTGTCCTCCATTTTTCACTTGAGTTTTTTTATTATTATTATTTTTGACAATATCATTTATTTTAAGGATTAAAAAAAATCAATTTTAAAGCTAACCGTGTGTATGCATTCATGCAATTAGAGGTTAGTATTGTCTCTCGGGGACGAGAATTGAGATAGGGAATATGAATATCATCTTCGATCTCATTTAGTTAATTGGGAAAAAAAATTTCCGTTCCCTCCTTTCTCGTCCACTTCCATTAATGTAATACACAGCAGGACGGGAACGTGGATTATAATCACATAATATACTTTTGTATTACATAATTTAGCGCTCGAAACTTGATCTAGGGACAAAAATGGAATTTCATCATTTCATTTAAAAATAAAAAATAAAAAGAAAGGCCTGAAAAGGGAAAAAGGAAATAATTTATACAATTATCACATGTTTGAGTAATTTTTTCAATTATTATCCCAATTTTTTCTTCTCCAAAAGACCTTTTTGCCCTTTAATTCAAAATTTCAATTATTATCGGTGATTTCCTAAGAATTTTCTTGGAATGCATGTGAGTGAGGACAAAACATGTTGGAAGGACTCATGCTGTAGGGATAGTCTTCTTAAGAAACAAGGGGTAGGTAACCTGACCGGTGAATGCTGGGGCCATTAAGAGCCAAATCTGGATTCCAAATTCTATAAATTATTACACCTACCTTAAAAACGGTGAAATCCAATGAAATATCCAAATCCCACAAAATCAAAGAGAAAAAAGAAAAAACGTAAGTGATTCGATGATATAGTTCAATGTCATGAAATAGAAAGATTAAGACTAAAACCGACTCAACAAAACATAGAAAAAAGAAACTTACGTAAGACCGACTCAACGAAACATCGAGAAATAAATTCTTGTATTAAAATTACTATCGGGATTAGTTCAAATTTTGGGAGTTGAAATTTGGAAAGAGAGAAAGAAAACAAAAGCCAGCTTCCCAAATCACTACCAAACTTGGAGATAACAGCTAAAAAATCCTTCCCTTAGAAAATGCCTATTTCTTAAGCATTCTTCCCAATTCCTCCATCAACAAAATAGGGAAAGAGCCAATCAATTTCAAATTCCTTCACGAAACTCGATAGCTATCATAATATGGTCGTCTCTCGATAATTGTGAGACGTAAATTCGAAAAACCCGTGTGCCCATACGAGATCTTTTTCCTACTTCGAACCTTAACTATTTGGCATGTAATCGAAAATTTTCATGTCTGATAATGTCGATCTTAAAATCTTACCGTGTAAAACTACAGCTATCTAGTGGAGCCTACTTCCAAACGAGGAAAGGGTTCCTTTTATGCCATTTCATCGATACAAATCCGACATGGAAATTGTTAAATGGTCTATTCATTTAACAAATTCAAATCCACAATTCTTCATTTCTTAGTTTCCAAGATTGGTATTGCAAGCATATATTACAGTGTTCTTTCATCACTGTATATTCTATTCTTCCTTTCATGGTTTCATTATCCTTTGATCTTTCGCCATTAGAGGAAGTTTATGGAAATGGGTTTTCGTTTTTGGGTTCTGGGGTTTTGTTTTTGGGTCTGTTTCTTCTTTAGCTGTTCTGGTTCTGTGAACTCCAACGGTGAGGAAGGAGATGGGTTTCTGAGCGGGACGGTTTCGATCGATGGCAAATCCGCCATTGGAGGTATCGATGAAGATTTCATTTGCGCTACACTCGATTGGTGGCCTCCGGAGAAATGCGATTATGGAACGTGTAGTTGGGGCCAAGCTTCTCTGCTTAATCTGGTAATCTGATTTCGATACTCATTAATGGCGATGAACATTGTCTGATATGTTTTTGATCGAACTCGGAAATTTTGGCATCTGGGTTTTGTTATTTGATCTTCTTCTTTTAGCTAAATGCTCGTAGCTAGAAAAAGTAGTGTTCATAAACTTTCAAAGGATTTGAAATTTGTGACCTCTACTGCTGCTCTACTGAATTGTTCTTATTGTTCTTCCAACTGCAGGACCTAGGCAGCAACATTCTATTAAATGCAATCAAAGGTTTGAATTCCTAGCTTGTTTGGCTCATTATAATGGCTCAAACCCATTGCTAGCCGATGTTATCTTCTTTGGGCTTTCCCTTTTAGACTTTTCAAGGTTTTTAAAACGCGTCTTCTCGAAAGAGGTTTTCATACCCTTATAAAAGATGTTTTGTTTTCCTCCCCAGCCGATGTGAGATCTCACAATTCACCCCCCCTTCAGGACCCAGTGTTCTTGCTAACACACTGCCTCGTGTCCACTCCCTTCGAAACTGAAAAGGGGTGGATTGAGAGGTCCCATATTGATTAGAGAAGGGAACGAGTGCTTGCAAAGACTCTAGACCCTGAAGGGGAGGTGAGGAAGCTATGCCTTGAAAGAGGGTGGACATGAGGCAGTGTGCCAACAAGGATGCTGGGTCCCGAAGGGGGTGGATTGTGAGATCCCACATCGGTTGGAGAGGAGAACGCATCATTCCTTATAAGGGTGTGAAAATCCCTCCCTAACAGACACGTTTTAAAAACCTTGAGGGAAAAACCCGTGTTATACAAACTTTATTCTCTGCGAACGTTAAAACTAATACCTTTTTTCATGAATGGTGCAGAATTTAAGCCCCTGAAGCTTAGATTGGGTGGCACTTTGCAAGATAAGCTCATATATGATACTGAAGATCACAAGCAGCCATGCATTTCTTTTAAAAGAGACACCAAAGAGTTGTTTGGCTTCACTCAAGGCTGCTTACCCCTTGACAGATGGGATAAACTAAATGACTTCTTCAAGAAAGGAGGGTAATCAAAATCTCCTCCCATTTTGCTGTTATGAAGTTAGATTCCTCAAAAGTTGAATGCTAAAGTTGTGTAATCTTATACAGAGCTAAGATTATCTTTGGATTAAACGCTCTCAATGGACGAAAGTTTGCATCAAATGGGTCCGCTGTAGGGGCTTGGAATTACATGAACGCTGAATCGTTCGTGCGTTATACTGTCAAAAAGAACTACATAATTCATGGTTGGGAGTTTGGTAAGAACTGCTACTTGTATTCTTGATGCTTCATAGCGTAAGCCTATTATGGTTCGGTTAACAATTCATAATTGATTTAACTAAGTAGAGACGGAGAATTCAAAACTGTGCATGTAACAGTCCAAGCCCACTACTAACATATATTGTCTGTTTTGGCTTATTACGTATTGCCGTCAGCTTCACGGATTTAAAACATGTTTGCTAGGGAGAGATTTCCATACCCTTATAAGGAATACTTTGTTCTCCTCTCCAACCAATGTGGGATCTTACAATCCATCTCCCTTTAGAATCCAACGTCCTTGCTGGCACTCGTTCCCTTCTCCAATGGATGTGGGACCCCTCAATGCACCCCCTTTGAGGCACAGCATCCTTGTTGGCACACTGCCTCATGTCCACCCCTTACAGGACTCATCCTCCTCGCTGACACATTGCCCAATGTCTGGCTCTGATACTATTTGTAACTGTCTAAGCCCACTGATAGCAGATATTATCTTCTTTAGGCTTTCCCTTTCAAACTTTCCCTCAAGGTTTTTAAAACGAGTCTACTAGGGAGAAGTTTCCACACCCTTATCAGAAATATTTTGTTCTCCTCCCCAACCAATGGGATCTCACAATCCATCCCTCTTTAGGGTCCAGCATCCTCGCTGACACTCGTTCCCTTCTCCAATCGATGTGGGACCCCTCAATCCACCCCCTTTGAGGCACAACGTCCTTGTTGGCACACAACCTCATGTCCACCCCCTACAGGACTCATCCTTCTCGCTGGCACATAGCCCCGTCTCTGGCTTTGATCCTATTTGCAATGGTCCAAGCCCACCACCTAGCAGATATTGTCCTTTTTAGACTTTTCTATTCAGACTTTCCCTCAAGGTTTTTAAAACGCGTCTGCTAGGAAGAAGTTTCCACACCCTTATAAAGAATGCTTCGCTCTCCTCTCCAACCTATGTGGGATCTCCCAGTTCATCTCGAATGACTCGTATTTGACAATGGATATGGATTCTTCTGCTCTAATCTATAATTGATTTCCATTCTCTTATGCTCAGGGAATGAATTGTGTGGGAGTGGAGTTGGAACAAGAATTTCAGCAGAACAGTATGCTTCTGATACAATTGTTTTTCAGAAGATGGTCCAAAGCATCTACAACGGGGTCCAAACCAAGCCGTTAACCATAGCACCTGGAGGATTCTTTGACGAAAATTGGTTCAAAGAATTCGTTGATAAAACTACCCCAACACTGGATGCTGTCACACACCATATATACAATCTAGGAGCAGGTATCATCCACTAGCCAAATAAGACCTTCATGAAGTTTCAAAAAGTGGGTTAACACTTGAGTTTTTTCTTACTAACAGGAGTCGACAAGCATCTTGTCGAAAGGATTCTTAACCCGTCCTATCTCAATGGCATGGTCGAGACGTTTTACAAGCTTCATGAGGTCCTTAGAAACTCGCGAAGTTCAGCTAAAGCATGGGTTGGGGAAGCAGGAGGGGCTTACAGCAGTGGGCATAATCTGGTCTCTAATGCATTCGTTTCGAGTTTCTGGTAATCTAGGCTCCGAAAAACAGGAATGTATGGCTCTTTTAAGACCTTCATAATAAATAGCACTCTTTTATGTGTGTGTGTTTTATTCAGGTACTTGGACCAGCTCGGTATGGCAGCCACTTTTGATACGAAAACATACTGCAGGCAGACGTTGATTGGTGGAAACTATGGTTTACTGAACACGACAACCTTTGAACCGAATCCAGATTATTACAGGTGAACGATTCGGCAAATATTTCTAACCTTAAACTCTTCGCTCCTTCCTGGATGCTATTAGACAATTATAACTAACAATCAGCTAGCTTGTTTCTTTTCCCTTTCTTCATTTCAGTGCACTCCTATGGCATCGCTTGATGGGGAGAAATGTTCTGTCCACGAGGTTTAACGGGACGAAGAAAATACGAGCCTACGCACATTGTTCTAAGCAATCTGTAAGTAGTAGTACATACTGTAACAGCCCAAGTCCCCTGCTAGTAGATATTGTCCTTTTTAAACTTTCCCTTTCGAGCTTCCCTACAAGGTTTTTAAAACGGGTCTTCAAGAGGTGGATTGTGAGATCCCACCTTGATTGGAGAGTGGAACGAAGCATTCCTTATAAAGACATGGAAACCTCTCCCTAGCAGACGCGTTTTAAAAACCTTGAGGGGAAGCCCGAAAGAAAAAACCCAAAAAGGACAACATCAAATGCCACCAGTTTTCAACTCGAATTCTAACTCTCAATCTTACAGAAAGGAATCACATTACTATTGCTCAACCTAGATGGAAACACCACAGTTCATACTGAGTTAGCATTCAACAGAACGAGCGGGTTACACTATAAACACAGATCCTATAAGAATAAGCAAAAGGTTGTTCGGACATCTCGACCTTACGGTCGAGAAGGCGAAGCCTTCAGAGAGGAATATCATATAACAGCCAAGGATGGGAACCTGCATAGTCAAACAGTGTTGCTAAATGGAAAGATTTTGTCTGTAAATTCATCAGGGAACATACCTTCATTGCAGCCTAAGCAAGTGAATTCATCTGAACCAATAACGGTCGCACCCTTTTCGATCGTGTTCGTTCACATACCGAATATTGTTCTTCCTGCTTGTAGCAATGTATGGAACTGAAAATCAGTTCCAGATTGGTGATTTTCTAATCAGAGAACAATTCTAATAAGAGTCTTTGAATCAGAAGATACACATTTTACACAACATTTGCAGCTTCAGCAGGATTACTATGACTAACAATGAGAAACAAAATCTCTACATGATCAATAAAATGCATATTTGTGGGGAATATACAAGTATTCACTATGGGTATACAACTGAAGAACCTGATGATGAAATGCAGTCGATGGCTCGTAATGGCGTTCTTCTCGGAAAATTCATGTAATGTAATACTACTTGTTGTTCGAAAAGGTTTTAGGTTTACTGCTGGCAAAGACCAACCAAACAATTGTCCCGGTCAAGTAGAAGAAGATCGACGGGGCGAACAATGAGATCTACACATAACAAACGGAAAATTTTGAAGATGCGAAAGAAGTCGGAGGATATGAATGGAATATACAAGTGGTAAAGACGAGAAGTTGCCAACTTACACTCCAAGAATGAGTTGAATCGAGAAGAAAGCCAGTGAGCGCAACTCCTACAATCCCGGGTATTGCTCCGACGGTATTCGTAATGCCCTGAGGAGTGTTTTTAAGGTGAGGCTTGCTAAGATCGACTACACGAACTATTTGGGATATTATAGAGATTACACATACCAAAAGGACACTTGCATATTCCGGTGACATATCTTGATGAGTACAGTAGAGTCCTGCAGACGATAATTATCTTAGTACTTAATGGCCAATACGAAACGATCCAATAACTTCGAATGTAGATCGTACCAGATAATGCAAAACTAGAGAGGGCCAAGCCACTGGTTAGGATAGCTACTACCTCCCAAGGTGGCAATCCTAAATCAACAGAGGACAAAGTCATGCAAAAGGCGGGGGACACAAAGGCGATTGTTTGGCAAATCTTTCTTACCTACATCGAAAACAGAAGAGGATCAAACAAATTATGAACGGAATGCTTCTCGACAAGAAACTGTTAGAGTTCGTAGCCATACTGTCGTGGTATCGACACCATTGGAAATCAAGTTATCAGCTAACTGCGATGCAATGCTTGTCACGAAAATTGAAGCTAGGGGCGGGAGGATGGAAACCTGAATTGAAAGATTTCTAGAAGTCGTAAGAAAGTCAAATCAATACAAAACACGGTTGAGAGGAGACGTACCCAAGCTGCTTCGGTCAAATTCAGGTTCAATTCCTCGCTGCATAAGAACGTGGATGAAAATCCAAATTCAGTTTTCCGTTAGACAAAGCAAGGAAGCAAGGAAGACGGTGAGGAGACGACGAAGTGAGGGTACCTAAAATAAGTAGGAAGCCAAGAGAGACAAGTGTAGTGACCCCAACTCCCACAGAAATGAGTGTATATCATTGCCCAGACCGGCGGATACTCGAAAAACCCCCTCCACGGTACTTCCTAACAATTCGATAAAAAAAATGACTGAAAATAAAGAACGAAGATCAATTAACCTCAAATATAAGTTGATAAAAAAACACGTAGATACCTTGAGTGCAGCGGGAAGTTGTTGAAGTTTGATGGGTGTTGTTACTTTCTTGTTCGGGTACCCGGACTCGGATTTGGATTCATCTGCTATAAAAACAATAAAACCAAATAAAAACGCTTACATGCAACACTATTATTATGGTTCAACAACCTGTCTGAAGTCGAACCTGGAAAGGATTTAAGGGGTACTGATGGCTGTCCATCCAGAAACTGGAATCCTGCAAACCTTCAACCACAAAACCTTTAGCCATTACCGCCTCAAATTCATGTTCATCCAAGATTCGTCGTCACACTATGCGATTCTACCATTAGAACCGCAAGCCCAAAACTAAAACGAATAGGTTATGTCAATTAAAATCGTTTTCAAAAGTGAATCCATGTGTAGCTCGGTATAAGGACCTATTACTATTCTAAAGATCGATGGTTTGATCCTTCACTAACAGGTGAAACAACTTACCAGGCTATCCCCAGAAAGCCAAAAATGTAGAACACGGATTCCCAACCAAAATTTTGGATGAGAGGAGGAGCCAAAAGAAGTCTGCAATAAACAAAAATCAAATTAGAGTTATATGACTACAAAGGTAGTCCAAGAAGTTAGATTCATCAACCATATTCCCGAAGACCACCGCTAGCAGATATTGTCCTCTTTGGACTTTCCCTTTCGGGCTTCTCCTCAAGGTTTTTGAAACGCATCTGCTTAGGAGAGGTCTCCACACCCTTATTAAGGATACTTCGTTCTCCTCCCAACCGATGTAGGATCTCACAATCCACCCCCCCTTTTCAGGGCCCAGTGTCCTCGCCAGCACTCGTTCCCTTCTCCAATCGATGTGGGACCCACCAAATCCACCCCCTTCGAGGCCCAACATCCTAGCTGGCACACTGTCTCATGTCTACCCTCTTCGGGGCTTAGCCTCCTCGCTAGCACATCGCTAGGTGTTTGGCTCTGATACCATTTGTAACAGCTCAAACTCACTGCTAACAGATATTGTTCTCTTTGGGTTTTCCCTTTCGAGCTTCCCCTCAAGGTTTTTAAAACGTGTCTGCTTGGGAGTGAGGACTTTGTTCTCCTCCCAGCTGATGTGGGATATCACAATCCACCCCCCCGGGGCCAGCGTCCTCGTTAGCACTGTTCCCTTCTCCAATCGATTTGGGACCCACCAAATCCACCCCCTTTGAGGCCCAGCATCCTAGCTGGCACACCGTCTCATGTCTACCCCCCTTGGGGCTCAGCCTCCTCACTGGCACATCGCCCGGTGTCTGGCTCTGATACCATTTGTAACGACCCAAACTCAACGCTAACAAATATTGTCCTCTTTCGGCTTCCCCTCAAGGTTTTTAAAACGTGTCTGCTTGGGAGAGGTTCACACCCTTATTATGGATACTTCGTTCTCCTCCCCAATTTCAAATTTAAAAAACAGGCTAACCAAACGCATGTCGTTAGATCCCTTTATCTTTGGTATCCGAAACCGAAAAATGGAGTGCAAATTGTATGCCAAACACACCCCATTTTCCAGGGTGCTTCTCAGTAAAGTCCAAATGAGTGAAATGTCAGAATATTCTTATTAATCCCATATCTCATATTCAACTTTTCATGAACCCGCCTGTTGAAAAATTTTTCCCTTAAATAACTGAAGCCTCCTCAACAGTGATTACTTGAAACATGCACAGAACATACCCGGAAACGCTTCCAACACTCAGCCCACCAAAAACAAATGCGACTGCCCGTGAGCGCTCCTGTAGAGGAATCAACCTGCATACTCAAATAAAAATGTCAAGTCAGTTGAACGTATAGAATCAACTTGACATGAAGAATGCCTTTCAGCAACATAAGGGAAGCGGGGTTTTCATTGATGATGAAGTTTTGGCAAACGGAAAGCCGCAAAGTAGACACCGTCCATTTATACAGAACGATGAGACAAGCAAAAGCAACTCAGTCACATACTAGGTACAGCTTGTAGAGAAGATAAACAGACCGAGCAGTGAAAATGGTTATAAATGGCCGTATTTATGTCCCTAAGATACAATGAAATGAAGTTTATGAAGAATTCCGGCCATCCATAAATCGAAACGTATGAAAAACGGCAAAGAAACATGATACTACTACCTTAGTTAATTCGAATAATTAGCTAGTATAATAATTTTTACAAATATACATAAAAGTTTAAAATAATTCAAGAAAATTATGACAAAATATGAATAAATAAAACGACCATTAACGATTATGCAAGTTTAACCTGCCTGGCGATAAGATCGGTTGCAGCTGATGGTGAAACGCCTTCTCCGATGCCAACCTATGTGCAGTGAAAGTTGATAAGCATCGAATTTAAAGAATGAAGCAAACAGAATGTACAGGATAAAACAGAGGGAAACCATAAGAAGTGGTTCTCTTTTACGAGTAGTATCGCTCACCAAAATTCTTGATAAAATTAATCCAGGCATATATCCAGCAAGAAATGGAACGAGTGCAGTGGATAGCGACCAAGTCAGTACTCCGATCTCCAAAACTTTTCTATTAAAAAAAAATCCGCAATAGTATGATTCTTTTCGTTAGCTTATTGTACGATCTACATAAACCGTGAAGAGTACACACAGCATTTCAATTGATAAGGCTACTAACAAATAATAATGAATGGCAGTGAACGGTAAATAGAAAGATTAACGTTTCTATCGATATAACTTGCAGAATATAACGTAAAAACAAGTTAAAAGCCAGTCGAGATTGCCAAGGAGAAACAAGGACATCAAGGGGCTTTTGACAAACACCAGCCCAGATTTCAAGATTCAAGGTAAACATTAAGGACCCATTTGATTTTTCTTCTTTATAAATTAAGCTTCTTACTAACGTTTTTACTTCTTTTCCAAGTTTACTTTCAGGATCGTTTTTGAAACCATAACAAAATTCTAAAAAGAGTTGGCTATTATAGACTTACTTTCAAAAATTTAAGACCAAAGAACAAAATCATCATCAAAAGTGTTGAGGAACAAGGCATCTCAAACAACGGCAAATTCTCCCTGAATCTTTTTAGGAAACGGTAAGATCCCACATTGGTTGGGGAGGAGAACGGAACACCCTTTATAAGGGTGTGGAAACCTTTCCCCAGCAGATGCATTTCTTGAGGGGAAGCTCGAAAGGAAAACCCTTTATAAGGGTGTGGAAACCTTTCCCTACTCGAAAGGAAAAGCCCTTTACAAGGGTGTGGAAACATTTTCCTAGCAGACACGTTTTAAAGCCTTGAGGGGAAGCTCGAAAGGGAAAGTCCAAAAAGGACAATAACTACTAGCAGTGGGCTTCCGCCCGTTATAGAAACCCAATATCGTAACCAGCTTGAAACAATTATTCTAACTTTGACTTCAGCTAATGAATTCATTGATCAAGTAATCACCAATAAATAAAGGGTTCATGAAAGAAACGATAAACCTGCTAACATTGATACTCAAATACTGACCTCCCACCAAATATCTTGGCGAGCCATCCACCAGGCAACTGACTCAAAGCATAACCCCAAAAGAAAGATGACTGAACCAATCCAGCCACAGAAGAATTCCATCCAAACTGGTGCGACATTGGAATTATAGCAACGCTTAAATTCACCTGCCA